AATGCGTCAGTCATGCAAGCTAAACAGTTGGTGTAGGTGTTACAAATACCAGTGTAGTGATATGGCTGTAAAAACTTTGCAGTGATTGGCTACAGATTAAATAAATAAATAAATAAATAAATATTAATAAATAAATAAATAAATATCATTTGTGAAGAGTATCCTTCTCAAGATTTAAATTCTTTCTATAATATTACCACAATAATCTGTCAGTTCTGCAGCATTCCCTTATTGCAGTCAAATTATTGATGTATCCACTAAATCAAGTCATTACCACCAACAATCGACTGACATATATACTGGCCTGTCAATCAAATTACATGTCAACTTAACATTCTTATTACTCATTGTTATGTCATTCTTAACTCTAAAAAAATCAAAACATTCTCACTAATATTTATTAATATATTTCTTGTATATATGTATGGTTTACCACATAGCAGGAATACCACATTCAACCTTGGCCTGCTTTCCCAGTGGGTCCTTGTGGTTGTTGTGTTAGAAGACAGAATATAATGACTGAAGTAAAATAGAAAGATAATAAAGCAAGTTTTATATGCATACAACTGTACTTACAGTATGAATATCATATGACTCTATCAGCTCTATGTTCCAGTCTAACTGCATTGTACTACCACCTTGCTGTTTGGGATTGTTAAGGATAGTTTGTTTGGCTTCAAATTCCATATAATACTTGGCAACACGTGATGTGTCAGGAAAAACAGGATTTCTTTCAATTTCATGGAAACGGAAATTGTCATTTGGAGCACTGTTATAAGCAATTTGTTCCTAGTGAAAAAACAGTGTAATAGTTAGTCTCAATCAACCGGAATCTGCCATAAATTGGCCCATCCAAAAGAATTGCCCTGATTTCACGACTTGTGGGCCCTCATTCGGGGTTCAAAATTTCAAAAAATGATCATCAAATATTTGTTTGGGACTTCTATTTTCATTGAAAAATCCACCTACGTCGACTTTCAATGCCAGCAGGTGGACCACTCGAGACAAAAGAAACCACTGCGGAAGCTAATACAATGGCTGAGTTAAAAAGTAGACCACCTTAACCTTCATTACAATGTCACTCAGTGTCATCTTTCTCCCCAAAAAAATCACACTAACTAAGCTGGTACGGCAAATACAATTTTTTTTGCTTGTATTTTATTGGTAACGAAAATAAATTCTAAAAGAAGTTTCATAAAAACGAACACAACTGCATTTCTTAGTAGAAAATGTTCACGGTAGCACAATCCAATCATGCTGCATTTCACAATTGTTGACTATTACTCAGTAGTGATTATAATAATATACAAAAAATAAATTTGTTGAATTGTTGTGAAATGCAAATAAAATTCAACTTAGTTTCATCGTAAGCAAATGATCATAAACGCTTGAGGCTGTAGGATATCCTCTAAGTTTTGCATGAGTTGACCTGGGACGAGCTAATTAACCAATCAAAATGATGGATGATGCCAGCGTGTTCAAATTACCATAGCTCATTTAAATATGTTAATGTTATTGAACGCAATTTGGAAGAGATTTGTAGTACGATATTTTCGCTTGGATTTTGATGGGAAAACGGCATGATTTTTTTAAAATCAAAAAATTAGTTGTTTCAAAAGCATTTGAAGAATAATTTAACAATGTTTACAGTGATAACAGCTCATTGTCGAAAGGAAGCTTACCATTCATGCTAGTCTCAATGAACATCAATACTCTTGAGTAGGCATCAATGACTATAATCAAACTTTTTTAGGTGTCAGGAAAGATTGGAATGTTCAAAAAATTATGCCAAGATATTAAAAAAAAATATAAAAAACTGCCGAAAAATCATTATTTCTTGGTCCCATTTAATTTTTTTAAAAACCAAAACTGCCGTTTAACGGCCCAGGGCCAATTTACGGCAGAATCGGG